TTACAAATTTCATAATTATAAAGTTTCTTTTTAGCCCCGTGCCAATTAAGGCGGCGTCCTTCCGGTTGTAAGGTAAAAACAAGACACAAAAAAAGGTTCCCATCCCTTCGCTTATTACTCTCATGTTCTCTAATTGGCATCGTAATCAAATATACACCCATATACAGCCGAGACACACACACACAGTCATACATAATTGAGCCAAGGGAGAAAGGGTTCGGGGTTCGGAGAAAGTTGGGCGAAAGTCTCGACATGCGGAGCAAATGAAGCGAGCGCAAAAGATGATTTCCATTATGAGTCAGCCAATAAAAGAAGCCGAACAGGTGAACATTTCAAGTTCGTCGAGGGCGGTTTTCAGAGTTGGGGCTTGAAAAACACTCATTGAGTTGGAATATTATTTTCAGGCTTTGAGCAAACGTGAACCAAAATTACCATTCAAAAGTTTTTGCTATAATTTTCTTTAATAATCTGCATATAATTAGATTAGATGGCCAAAAACTTCCTCAATCTTATTCCGATTTCAAAGTGGCTTACCTCTAAAGGTTTGTAGTTATTATCTTTATTCTTTTTTATTTTATTTTTAAAACCAATTTTTACATTAAAACATATTTTTTTTTAATTTTTCTCCAAATTTATTTATTTTGTGACACAAACCAATTTTTTATTTTACGTACAAAATGATTATAGTTTTTGTAACGTGAAGGAGACTTATTTTTAAGGCTTTGCAATGACTTTCTTGTACCGAACTCCTTGATCTTCTCCTCTGCCTTCTCTCCCGACACTTTCTCCACTTTTATGATGACTGCCTTTTCGCAACTTAGCCCCAACTCATTTCAACTCATCCGGGGTCTCATTGTGAGCCGTCTAATTCGGTTTGCTTGTTTATTACCTTAATTAAGACCCGGCTAAAAGCGCCAACAAATGGCTAATAAGAAAAATGAATTTTATTTGTAAGACCTAAGAAGAACATGCAACAAAGGGGGGCAAATCCGAGGAGGACTCCACTCAACTTCCACTCCAGCTGCCACTTGCCACTTGCCACTTTCCACTCAACTCTGAATCTTGTCTCATCTTGAGTCCTACCCACACCCTTAGCCCCTTAAAACCTTAACCCATTTGGTGATGGTCGCCAAGGGATTTGCTCATATGAAACGTGTTAATATGCAAGGCGGCGCACGCTCCAATTGGAGTGGGTGGCGTCTAGTGGAAGGTGGGATGTGGGAAGCTGGGTGGATGGGCAAAAGAATGCTCGTTGGGAGGCTAAATCAGCGTCTCAAGTGGTTTCCTCTAGCTCTTTATAGCACTTAGTTGCACTAGAAAAAAATGTATAAATTTTATAAAATGTTAAAGATGATACAATAGAAAATATTCACATTTTCCAGTGCGGAAAACATTGCATAACGAGTTCAGAAAGGTATGACAATCCATATTTGGATCAATATTTCCAGTGTTACAGTCAAAAAACCACTTATTTTTTTTTGGAAGAAAATGGGTTTTTGTTTTTTTTTTCTCTGACAAAAATATGAATTTTTTCTTTTTGTTTTTTTGCTATAACTTGGCCAAAAATGGTCCTACACCAAAAATACATACTGTTTTGAACAGATAACAAAATAATAAATAAATCCATGTAATTTTCCGGGTGATCTTGAAAAAATAAAATTTTCGCCAATTTTCAATTTTTTTGTGAGGGGGTACATCATGATTTTTTGCAAAAAATTGCCAAAAAATAAAATGTCCAGGTTAAATGTTAATCGATTGAAAATTAAATTACGATTGCAACGAAATACGACACCTTATATTTTGACCATTTTTTGCACCATGTCTGCCTCAAAAACCTTTTTTTTTAGGGCAAAAAAGTTTGATTGTTATTTTAAACAATTATTTCTTTTACTGGTTTTAAAACATATATTTGGAACTAATAAAACAATATTGTATACCTTAATGTTAATAAATATCTTTATGATTTAATCCATTCAAGTCCCATTTGATTTTCTCAGTGCCCGTTCTAAAAGCCTCATATGAGTCGGAGCGTCTGTGTGTCTTGGCGCCTGTTTGAAATTTTACCAAGCCTCGCAAGTAATGGGTAGAATTTTTAATTATTTACGCTCACATACCCGCCTGAATACTTGACGGCGAGCTAATTTGTTATGCGAAACATCTTCGGCATGGAAATAATTAAAAAGTTTTTTTCCGCAGATCTTTCCTGTATTTTAGCCCCCGCTTTCCGTTTTCGCCATATCCGCATATCCTTATATCGATCTCTTATTTATCCGGTGCTTAATCCTTGCCGGGCTTTAACCCCCTGTTGGCTACCTTTTTGCGGTTATTCCGCTTCCACTCCACTCGCTTTTGCGTTACGCTTCGCGTAGTCACGAAGTCGAAGTTGAAGCAGCTGTAGACTGTATTTTTATGGCCACATACGTGCGGGTGCGGCAGAGGCAGGTGAGATCCGGATGGACTCCTCTTTGCCCAGATTTTGCCCGGTTCCGGATGGCGGACTGCTCGGTTTGCAGCTTAATTGGATGCCACAATGTGAAATAAATTGAGCAGAAAATTACGTTGCCCGCCAAATTCAAACCACACGGAGATGGCATTAGAAAGAGACGGGGGCCCGGGGCGTATGGGTAATATCCCGGCCAGGTCATAAGTTTTCGATCCGGCCAATTGGTCCCGGCGGTGTCGTAAAACGGCTGCTGAGGAGAAAATAGGAGAAAATCCGAAAGGAGACTGTCTGATAGGAAAAGCGAAAGAGCCAAATTAAAATTAAAAATAAAATAAAATAATGAAATAAGTTTACATAAATAACAAAAGATTTTATAATTATTAAACTATAATATCTTCAAAAATAATAATATTAGATTACTTAAGAAAATATATACAAAGAAACAAGTTTACATAAAATTAATATATTCAAATATTTTTAAAAAGTAATTTATAACAACATCTAAATAATAATAAAGTTTTTAGGCACTTTGGGATATATATTTCATATAACAACTTTCCCCCTTAAATAAATATTCCACATCCGTATTTTGTTATTAATTTTCATAATTTTATTTAATATAATTGTTGAATTTAAGTTTTATTTAGATCTTTTTGTTTTTGGTTTTTTTTTCTTTCGGTTTAGTTTGTTCTGTTCCTCAAATAAAATGTTTAATTAAAATTAATTTATTTTTTATTACAAAGAACTCTCATTTTATTTTTATTGCACAAAATGTTGTTGAATTAATTTCTATATATATTTAAATATGCGGGGATCTTGGCTAAATTATACACATAGTTTCGGTAATTCTTTTCGGATTGGTTTTTCCATTTTTCCATTTCCTGTGTGGTATACATCAATTACATTTTTACTTCGATTCCGTTAGTTAGCGTGTATATTTATATATATATATTTAAATAATGTGCTATTTTCTGGACATTTCTAACCGATTCCTTAACTCTATTTACCGTTCGCATAGTATAGTGTTGATTTCTTCTTTTTTTAGATTTTAATTTGATGCTTTACCACTTATGAGCTAACAAAAAAAAGAATTACAATATAAGTTTTCAAGTGTCATAGATTGCGGTTGCGGGTGTGCGGTCTACCATTTAGTATACAGATATCTCGTTATATGCATATTTATATTTATATATATATATTTTTTTTGGTTTTGTTTTCGTTTTCGGTTAGCTTAGATTGCACATGTTTATACACATTTAAAGGACACGCAGATCGAAGCACATGAAATGAACAGTAAACAAATTCACGAACATGGATTACGGCTTAGGAACTCAGACATACATCGGCTCTACGACCCGCCCAATTAAATAAATCTTAAAACCCCAAACCCACTACCCCCCACCTTCCGTTACCAACACTCATATCCTACACGAAAAACAGGAAAAATCACTAAAACTCAACTTGGCTTTGGCTTCACACATTTTTACGACTAGTTTAAAGTTTCTATATATTTTTTGGTATCATATTTCGGTATTTACTTATCGCTAATATGACTAGTTTTATGGCTCGGGCTTACCACGGGCCTGGAAAAAATAAAAAAAAACGTAACTCCACACAGACTCAATACTGTTTAAAATTCATATTTCTTCTTGTTTTTTTTTAGTGTATGTCTTAAAAATCCACGAAAAAGTTGTCAAATTTGCTAAGTATTCGTGTCTTAAACGCTAGTTTATATTTTCTTGGCTCTCGAATTAACTATATGCTATTTTGGAGGTCTTTGAAGCCATCCAACAAATTCTACTAATAGTTGATCATTTCGGTTTCTTTTTTATATGGTCATAATGTTATGATAAAAAAAATACACACACACTCACATACACATGTTCACAAACTGCTAGAGATTTAAAAACAATGCTTTCAGTTGCCTATTTAGTGGGATATGAAATATTTTACCTTCGCCAAACGTCTATATACAAGATAAATTTCATCAAATTGCAAAAATAAAATATTTCCATCTTAGACACCGGAGCTACTTTTTTCTAATCTCCAAAGATTTCTGTTTATCCCCCAGGTATATACAATCATATTTTTAGGCATGCCCCTTTACTATGGCGATTTCCAGTTGTCGATAACTAATAAATCGAAATAATCGAATATTTTCGATAGTTTTAAAATCTTTAATTGTCGATTTATCTGTAAAATCGATTGGCTTTAAACGATAAATCGTAAATTTCTTGTAAAGAGCTAAAATGATTGAAACGGCTTAAAAGTCAAGAGATTATTTTTTAAATATCGATACCATTTAAGATCGATAATTTCAGTATCGATTACACATCATCTCCAACTGGAACTCTACCCCTTTTGACTCCCCCCTTTGGCTATGTACAGTTTTAGAAGCCCCCGAAGCAGTTCATGCCCCCGCCCATGCCCATGCTCATGCCCAAGCCCATCCCCTCGTGCTGCGGCCCACCACCTCCACCTCCTACACCCCCTCCCCCACCACCACCACCACCCCCTCGCACTATAGAACCGCCGAGCCGCACCACAGAACCTGACCTCAATAGGGCCTCCAAACGCTGCCCCCATTGTCGGTGGGATTGTGGTGGCCGCGATGGGCAGCTAAGGCGGCCACCTGCCGATTGCTATTCCCCCCATCCTCGATATTCCTCACCGAGGCCCCGCAGTTCCCGATCAGCGTCAGATCCCCGGGATGTGTGACCCCCCCGCCGGCCATGATGTTGTGATGCTGCTGCCTCACTCCCACATTGCTGATGTGATCCATGACGCTCTGCAGCTCCCCGTGGACCGAGGAGTTCGGGGAGGCGTGGGCGGGCAGGGTGTGCGAATGGAAGCCGTGGGCGGACTGGTTGGCCGCCGTGTAGAGCTGGGAGTATAGCAGGCTGGCTGGCAGCACGGGATACAGGGAGCCGTTGCAGCCGGCGGTGGGGGGGCCTCCGCCCACCACACCGGAGCCACCGCCTCCGTAGGCCGAGGCGGCCGAGTGCTGGGCCTGATTGACGATGCCGGGGAAATTCTGATTGGCACCCAGCATCGAGGGGTTGCCCACGACGGAGGCACCTGCTCCCGAGGGAGGCGCTCCACTGCCGGCGGCTCCGCCCGCCGATGCGCTGCCCGCTCCACCGCCACCGCCTCCTCCTCCGCCCGCCGTGCTGCCCAGATTCGGGGTATTGGTGGTCAGCAGGTCCTCCTGCACCGGCGATTCCGCCTGGGAGCTGTCCGAGAGGCTGCGCGGTCCATTCTGGCTGGAATGCACATTGTACTCGTTGCTCGCATTGGTGTGGTAGCGGGGCACCAGGATCGAATTGCCGCCCGCCGCTCCGCCGCTGCCCGCTCCGGCGGCACCTGCTCCGCCGGCACCGCTGCCACCGCCGCCGCTGGCCCCTCCGTTGACCGTCGACGAGATCGACGTCTGGCCGCCGGCACCCAGCAGGCTGTGGTGCGTCATCTGGCCGCTGGTCGAGCCCACCAGGCTGCTCAGGTGCTGGTCCAGATCGCTGGCCGTCGAGTCGGGCAGCACTGCAAGTAAGAAGGGGGTAGGAATTGGGCAATAAATATTTTGAAGTATAGTAAATATTGTTTTTTAGTGCATAACATTTTCTGGAATTTTTTAGAATTCTTTAAAACCTTTTTTAGGAAATTTGTATAGCAAACTAAAAATAACTAAGTAAAATTTTAGCTAAATTAACAAAAAAGAAGTGCGGCTAAAATAGGGGATACATATTTTGGAATATAGAAATATAGTTTTTTAATGTATAACATTTTCTAGAAATTTTCTGTAAATTAGTTTGCATTTTTTTTGCGAATTTTTCATAAGTCACCAAAAATAAATTAATACATTTTAATTGTAATACATTGTTTCTTTTTTATTTTATTTTTAAGATATTTTTTGAGTGATTTTTTAACTAAGATAAATATTTTAAGACTCACTTGGAACGCAGTCGCGATTGGTGGCTCCTCCGAAGTCCTGGTTGTTGCTCTGATCGTTGGAGGAGCAGGTGAAGCCCAGGGCCGGATTGTTGAACTGGGCGGAAGTGGGCGTGGTGCAGGAGGATAAGCCGCTGCTGGCCAAATACGGCGAATACGCTGAGGCAGCCGATCCATAGCCCCAGTGCGTGTTGCTGGCACCTAAAAAATAGAAATTAAAAATAAAAATATTATTATAAATTAAAGATTTGAATTTAAAATATTATAAAAATATTTATTAACAAAAAGGAAATAGTGGAAAATATATATGTAAAAATGTAAATAAATTAATACAAAGAACCAGAAAAATCAAAATAAATACAGGATAGGGCCACTAATTGGAGGTCCCCCCACGATTTTCCCGTATTTTATGCGGGACCTTTGCCGCCATTTTGCGGAGACAGGAAGTAAAACAACAAAAAAAAAAGGGAAAATAAACGACAAACAAATCAATGGAATGGACCAAGGCCTGCCGAAAATTCAGTTCAGTTTGGTGACCATAACCAAAAAACAGAAGCCGGGGAACGGAAAGAAGAGAGTCAACATTTTGCGGGTCGCCGGGACCCATGCACAGATAATTAGGCTTAATTAATAGCCCATTCGGAAATTATTAATTAGTTTTTATAGGCGACGGGCGCGTTTTCGTAGCCGGATATTGATTTTGTGGTGGCTTTATTAATGCTATTGGCTTAAATGTTTCTACCTCCATTAATTACGTGGCTTTTTGTGTACAATTTTCCTCTGTGGGATGTGGGCTACTCTACGCTGCGACTGTGTCTGTGTTTTGTGTGTGTGTGTGTGCGTGCTTTTGCCAGTGTATGTGTGTGCTGCGAGAGTGGTTAGTCTCCTGCCTGTTTGTTGTCACACTGATTGACTTTATTTGCGCATATTTTCGGGCCCTGAATTATTAACAAGGCACCGGACAGCGGACCATTTTGGGTTTTCCAACGGCAGGGGAAGCGGAAAAATAAATGCAAATATTTTATTAGGTCGCTTAATACATAAAACAACTCTTAAAAAATTTGGTAAATAACAAAATCTTGTGAAACGCAAAGGTTTTATTAGGTCGCTTAAAACAATAAAAAAAAACCTTAACAGAAATATTGAAAAATAATAAATCGTTTTGGACAAATTTATAAAACAAATCTTCCTTTTATATAAGTATTTACAAAATTAAAATCAAACCGCTTCTGCACTTTTGACTCATTTTCGTATTTCTTTAAATCCTATAATTCCGTAAATAAAATTACATAACTCCCTCTTGCTCTTGGCTTTTCCGGTTGGGTTTCGGGATATCTCTTCTTTTTTTTTGCGAAATTAATAAAATATATGCCAGTAATTAAGTCAAGCAGCGACTGTCAATAAAATTTGTTAATAAATAATTCAGGATACTTTGCTTTTTGCATATTTACAATTAATTTATGGGTAATCAGTATCAACAGACGCTTTCAGTAATCATTATTTACTTGTGTGCTGTAGCCCCACATAGACATAAACATATACATATTTATGTGTGTTATATAATGTGGATTGCCTTTTCCTGAATCCTGTAAATCGCGCAATTTGCATTTTGATTTGTGCACTGGGCTAGACGGTAAAATATTGACACAAAATGGAAGGAGATGCAACGTCCAAATTGGCAGGCAATTTGCGCATTGATTGAGTTGCATTTTATATTTTTGGCGGGTTTTTTATTTACACATATGGATATGTATGGTTTAAGCTCACCGAAATACTTGAGAATGGTGGACTTGTATTACAATAACCAAAAAACAACTGCTTAGAGTTTTAGAATAAGTAGATTTTAGTTTTAATGAATCCAAAATAAAATTATTAATTAATAATAATCACAAATGAAATCGAATTTCAGCTTAAAAAGGCTTAAAAATAATAATTAGTTTAAAAATATTCTAGTATCTTCAAGCACCTAACAAAATGTTTTAATAATTATAAATAGTTTTCAATATTTTGTCCTCCACTAAAGCTAAATTCGTTAATTATTTTATTTCCATGTCAGTGAATATTTTGCAATTTTTAAATACAGCACAACTCTTTGTCTTCGCGTTTCCTACTTTAACATCGTTAATATGGTAATCACATTATTTTCAGCTTTTTTAATGGCATCAAGCTCTAAAGAGAAAATCACATTTGTAGCCGTTGCTATTTTTTTTGCTCTTTTTTAGCCCCGGGCAAACTAGTTTTTGGGTAGGGGCCGAGTGTCTAGTCCGGCTTTTGTTGCTGATGTTGTTGTAATGCAATTAATTGTCAATTTAAATTGAAACATCAAATTTAATATAAATGCATTTTAAAATGTACAATTAAATTTGTTTCACCTACGCGAGCACGAACAGGCGAGCAAAAAGAGCCAAAAGAAAAATTTGTCTCCCACAATATTAATTATTGATTTTGTTATAAATATTCTATGGAGATGGTGGGGGTGAAAATAAAGCGTAAACGGGTTTGCTATAATATAGAATAGAAAAAGTTGGGGGCGACGAGTTTTTTGTTTTTATAAAAACTAAAAAAAAACAAAAAGAAAATGTAAAAAAAATAGTAAAGAAAACTTGGAATTACAAATAATTTATAAATTAAATAAAATATTTTATTTAATGGGTATTAAAACCTCGAACCATTTTAATAAATTAACCTCGTTCTGCTTAGCATTTGAGCTGTCAAAATTGGTTTATACTCGCTGGTTAAATGCATTAAATTTATTTGACTGCGTAGTTTTTCATTTAAATCATAATTTGTATGCGAAGCTCTGATTTAACAGCGCTTTTTTAGGCTTTGACTTTTTTTCCCCTCAGCGTGTGTTTGTGTGTGTCTGTGTGCTTGTGTTTGACCAACGTTTATTTGTTTGTATAGTAAACTTCGGTTAAATAAAGTGGCCAACAGTTTAACAGCAACAACAACAACGAACCCACTTAGCCCAGAAAAAAAGAGCCTATATGGCAAGGTGACCCGCAATTTTACCACATTCAAATGGTTGTCCAACGGCAATAACACGAAAACAAAAAAAGCAGCGGCAGTTTTTAAAGTTGCTCTTTTTTTTTGTTCAATTCATTAACAGGCGACACTTATATATATTTGCTGTCTGCCAACAAAATTGTACAATATTTAATTAGTTTCTTGTCTAGCTTAGGGAATAAAAGCCTTAAAAAGTTATAATTATTTTTAAGAATCTTTTGGGATAAATTCTAAAATAATTTAAAATTATATTTTTAGGTTGCGTTTCCACTTTTCACACTCCTTAAAAAAACCTTTGATTTTAGGAACTTTTACTTTTGTTGTAATAAATATAAATACACACCAAAAACCGTAAATTTAATGATTAAAATAATTACTTAAATATTTACTTACTCTGACAATTGCCGATGGGCGGCATCCGGAAGCCGGAAAGTGGATCCGTGGAGAAGTGGAAGGGTCTTTGGCCAAAGGCGAAGTGGAACTGCTGTTGCTGTCCTAAAAGGGATAACACTAAGTTTTTTTCAGTTATAATTTTCTGTCCTTAACTAAATGGTTTTATTGCACTAGAACAGTGGTCGCTGGTAAATTGGTTTCTTGGGGTATTTAATTCAGGACTTAAATTTATTAATGGTTTTCGTAGTATTTTTTATAGTATTAATATTTATTTATATTTATTTTCATACCAAAATTGTTTCCAATTTTCCAGCGACCACTGCACTATGTGTATGTGTATTCTTGTCTATGACTGTATGCGTTTTTCTTTGTCTGAGTGAAAACTTAAATGACAAACAGTTGATGAGTGACATTTTGTTGCTTTCGATTCACTTGAGATTGGTCCTCCAAAAATTTCCAAGACCCCGAAAAACTATTTACAATGGATTTTGTGTGTTGCTCTATGTGAAAGTGAAATGACAATGGGCCAGAAAAACTTTTGCTGCCGAACCGGCGACACTAAAATCCTGCGGCTGTTTTGCAGCATTTATCCAGCCAGCTTGTATTCATTATAAAATAATAACCTTTTGTCTGCAGCTTAAAGCCCATTCCCCATTTCCCGTTTGCAGTTTTCCAGGGTTTTTGGACCCTGTCTGGCATTCGGGGCATATAAATCATTTCATGGATTTCGAATTCGGACCGAAACCAGATTACACAGACCAGCAGAACTTTGCCAGCAAAACTTTGCCTGAATGCAGAATGAACATATGCAAAGTGAAATATATTTGCATCCTTATAAATATGTAACGGGGGCTGAAGGCTGAAAACTGGAGAGTGTGTGATAGAGCTGTCTAATGAATATTCCTTCAAGATGTTCGGCATTCTGAAGTGAAGTGAAATGAAGTGAGGTATTAGCAAGGAAGTGTCCTTTCCGCCTCAGTAAAAGCAAAATCCTGGCAAAGGATCCTGCTGCAGATTGAAATGGTAATCGTAATATTTTGCAAGTGCTCTTCAAGTTTCCTTTTCAGCGATGAACCTTCTAGATACTTTTTGTGGAAAGTAAATCCTCAAAAATATTTTTTTATATTGCTTGTAATTATTTGTGAAAACTAAAAAAAAATATTCTTAATTTTTTTATATTAATTATTTTAATCATAATTTATTTTTTGCTTTACAAAAAATAAATAGGTTAAATAATTTAATTTTTTATATTTTCCAAAATATTTTCCATTTAAAATATGTCAAAGTTATAGAAATTAAGCTTTCATATCTTGTAAATCCACTCATCACTGACATTAATGAAATCCGAATGGATGGAACCCGAAAACAACCATCTCTATCTCGTCTGCATCTCTTGCGAACTGCAGAGCAATTTATCTATTTGGCAACTAATAAATTGTTTTGCATTGTCCTGCAAATGAAATAGCCCGAAACGAAGAAGAAGGGGTCTTGGAAATCGCCGGAAAAGGGGGTTCCCAACTCATCCATGGTTCTGTGTGGAGCATACTTACTTGTCTTGGAACGGGGCTCGCGTGGCCCATCGACAGTCACTTTGATCGCCTTGTTGTAGGTGGCTATGTGCGGTGGATTCGTTGACACGGTGATGGTTAGCGTGAAGCTCTTCCCTGCGAAAACAAACGGGGGAAAGCGAAACAAACAAATTTATGAGATTTTTCGTTTGCCTAATGTCCGCCAGACATGCAAATCAATAAACATGTTTTTGGGCTTTTCTTTCGGTATTTTTGTTTCTGTTTTTGGGGGGCATTGTCACATCGTAAATGTGTTGGCCATAAAACAATAATGTTGCCAGAGGTGGGGGTTAACATTTCCATTTGGGTTACTTTCATAAGGAAATAAATTAATCGATTTGGTTCTTAATTTAAATATTAAATAATTCTCACAATGAAATAAATACATTCTTTATTTTTGCAGTAATTTTTCGCCTTTTCCTAAGATTTTTAAATATTAGGGTAAAAGAAAACACAGTACTTTTTTTCTTTCCTCTGCCATTTCTCAAAAGTCCTTATATAAATTCAAATCAGGGGCCCTTTCACCTGTCGAAATAAAGAATTAATTACAATTTAAACTGATTTAGAATGCCAAGCCCCCGCCTCCCAAAAAAAAACCCTTTACATATGCGTCTTTTGGGGGCCCCAAGATTTATTTCGTTTGCGCCGCAGTTTTCTTTTAATTAACTTGTTTCAGCCCAGTCATTGTCAAGTGTTGCCAGGTCCTCTTCTTTTTCTCACAGCCATTTTTTGTGTCGCCCAGAGATTCAATTAAAAGCATTTCAGCCTTCTTGAGCCGCCGTCTTCCTTTGTTTTCCCGCCTTCTTCTGCCTTCTTGTCTATGGCAACGCGGCGTATGTGTGATTTCTTGGGGGGAGGAGGTTTGCTTTTTAAGTTGACAAACAAAGCGTAAATCATTTCGGCACATACAAATAAACCGCCGACGTACCCAAACCAACTGTAGATATATGTATATATATATTATGTGCCAGACTGCCAGGAGAGGCTTACACATGTCCTGGCAGCACACTCCACTGAGCCAGGACAATATCCTCCTCCACTCCACTCCTCCTCGAGTTTCTTAAAAAATGAAGTCTCAAGTGGCAGCCCCAAAGATGGGAAAACACTTTTGTGTTTATTTGCCATCAAGTGCAGTTCATTGTTGCGCAATTCTTTGACACTTTCCGTGGGGTTTCCCCCATTTCCCCGATTTCCCGGCTGGAAAAGTTGTGCAATTGGCAAACGGATAATCGATCATTAAAGCGAGTAATTTGTGGAAGGAGACGGTTTTTTTGGGGCTTGGGAAATGTCATTTGTTGGGACGGAAAAATACTGCTTTTAATTATTATTAAAAGCTTGAACTTTTTGCATTCTATTTTTTGAGAAAAAAAATAAGTTTTTTGTAATATTTTAAGATTTATTGGGATTTATTTTAATATTTATTTGCAAAATTTCAAAGAGTTAAATGGGAAATACACCCTTTTCTTTAGAACGAAACAATTATAATCAGAACGGCGGCTCCTTTGACCCAATTGATTGATAATCCCACAATAATTCCGAGCTCAACCCCCCAACCCAAACCCCGAAAGGCATTCATCTTAATCTCCACCAAAAGTGCGACAAATGGAAGTGTCAACACTTGAGAAGCTGAACATTTCCGTGTGTGGGTGTGGCAAGGCATTTAAAATCAAATCCTGTTGACAAATAACCTGAAATCCTAGCTGGCAAATCCCCGGCAATTTACCGTTGCACAGGCGTCATAAATCAATTTGAGGGGTAATGAAAGCACACACACACGCACAGAAGACAGAAACACACACGCACACATATACGTTTGTCAATAGATTTGTTGTTTAAAGGGGAACGGAACCTGCTTTCAATTTCCTTTAAGAAATATGAACAACGAATTATACGAAATAATAAAATAAAATTTATTTTTAATAATATAATTTAAAAATGATAATTTCCCATTTTTTCCTAGATTATAAATTTTAAATATTCCTCTAAATTAAATCGCTTTATTGGAATTTCAGCTTGTTTACACTTATCTCAAGGTGGCTTCCCCCTAAGACTCCACTTCACTTCTTGGCCAACGAAACAAAAAAAGGCTAAGTCCTTGAAAGCCCTGAAAGCCAGCCAGTAAGTCGCACCAACACCAAAATAAAAACATTTTGCGGCTTCTTTGGTTTTCATCTTTTTTTGTGTTTGCTTATTTTGATTGCTTGTTGATTTCTTGTTTGTGTTTACCTGAGGGTGTGGATATATATGTTTACATGCTCGAATGATTGATTTTGCAGGTAAGGGATTTTTTAAAGGGGTAAAGAAGTTTTAACTATATAATAATAAATAGATAATAAATATTTAATAAATATTAAATAAAGATATAATATATATATGATAAGTATACCTATAATAATAATTAAAAAGCTAATAATTTATCAACTTAAAAATAGTTTCCAGAACTTTTGTAAACCCCCGTTGAAATCGCCGTTTTGATCAAGTTAAATGGGTTTAATTGCATTCGGTCTGCCCTGGATGCCTTTTTCCCTGGTTCTAAGTTAAATCTAGTATTAAATCTGCACCGCGCCCATGGGGCGTATGAGTGATTTACATTTACATCCGCCACGTTGGCCTCTGCCGCCATTTTGTTTCGCTGCTGCTGCTGCTGCCGTTGCTCCTGTCTAATTACAATAACAAATGCATGGGGCTATAGGCCCACCCCCTTCCATCCCTCCCTGTCATGCAATTTAATTACCCGGCCATCGATTTATTTGGCCCAACGCTAGGCTACACTTTTAATTAGCAAAGTGCCATGCACATGCACGCATGATGATGACGACAACGTTGATTGGGTGGGTTTGAGTGCTGTTCCGGGGGGGCTTAAAGGGGTTAAAGTCGGTGCCAGTTTCCGCCAGTTACGATACCATCGCCTCTACTTCCCTTCCCCACGAAAAATGCTTACCCTTAATCGAGGCCGAGGGCGAAAACGGGGGACGCCTCCCTTTGAGGTTTTTATTTACACAATTCTCGAGCCATTTAATACGGCCGAAAAACAGCCGCAAAATGAACTGAGCCCAAGGAACTCCAGAAATCCCCAACCCATCCCAAACATTCCCCAAAAAATCTTCGTTGGGGACAAACAAAGACAACTCACAACCCCTAACAAAAAACAAAACCCTCTCGAAGATAAATGCCTAGCAAAAGTCGAGGCGTTAAAAGGCACAAAGAAAAAGAAAAAAGCAACTGACACCTTGTCCTGTGAAAGGGACACGCCTGTGTCTGTGGAAATGGGGAAAAGCGCTCAGGAAAAGCCTCGGGGGAAAGCGGTGAAAGTCATGCCAAATTGTGCACAATTTGCTTTTGGCTTGCCTTCTGTTCTTTTCAATTTTTATCCTCGATGGGGCTTTGTTTTTGACCCGGCACCCCGAAAGTTGGTAATTGTGCGAGATTCTCCCCCCAAAAGACCGTGGCAAGCAACAGGCAACAACAAACAGAAACAGAAACAATTGTAAACATTTTCAGTTATCATAATTTGACTGAGCAGAAGAAGGTCCTGTGATGGGTTAAATGAGACATGACGGGCACAAAGGGGTAAACAGCAGCGAAGACATTTGTTTTCTCAAGTGGATAAGTTTTTGGGGGCGATGGTTTTCGTGAAAGAGATTTATATTTATAGTGATCATTAAGATTTTATAAATTAAAAAATAAAACAATTCAAGTTTTTGTCAAAAACCCAGATTCCAATTTTGGACAAAAAATAATTAGTATTTTTACCGTAACAATGGAAATACTGATCCAAATAGGGATTGTCATACCTTTCTAAACTCATTATTAAATTTCCAAACGATTGGCATTTAAACCTAGACATTTTATTTTTTTCACACTTTTCGCAAAAAATTATGATGTACCCCCTTACAAAAAAAATTGAAAATTGACGAAAATTTTATATTTTCAAGATCGACCGGAAAGTGACATGGATTTACAGCAGGCCAAGTTACAGCAAAAAAACAAAGAAAAAATTCCTATTTATGTCAAAAATCAAATTCCCAAATAAAAAAAAACTTTTTTGGAAGAAAACTAGAGGGGAAAATGCATTTATAGCTTAATGAATGGGAAATTCCCAATTAAGGCGCCCCAAAGGCAGGAAAATGGAGGTGGCAGGGAAACTGTGCAGCGAGAAATGTTAAAGTGGAAAGCGGGAAATCGGAAAAGCAGAAGATGGAGAAGGATCGGGATGGGAGTGACGCGAATGCGGACACGCATCCATTTGGCATTGTCCGAATGATGACAATGAATGAATCCTCGGCGAGACACAGACACGCCCCCAACCCTTTTATACCTTTACCTCCCCCTTTGAAAAACCGCCCCGAAAAACCGCTTATGTCCCCCTTTCGCTGGTCGAGGCTTTGGTTTCTGCGGTTTCACCGCAGCGGATGCGTAACTCCCCCCAAAACCACCTTACCCCCCTTTTTGGACCAGGCTAAAGTGACCAGCGGAATTGAGCTTAGTCCTTCCTTTTCGGGAGAAAACTGGGGAAAACCTGCACCCATGGCGAAAATTTTTTTTGGCCAGTTCTTGCTGATTGAATTAGGGCTTGTGTGATTGATGGCAGACAGTTGATTTTTATCATAATTAATTAAACTTTAAAAAAGGAACAAAATAATATTAGATTTTAGTGTAATGAATTAATTTTTAGTATTGCTATAAATATATAGTTTCCATAAAATAAAAATACTTCAAAGGTCCCATAACAATTTTAATATGTTTTCTATTAAATTAAATAAATTAAATTGGTAAAATTATTAATAATAAATTCAAATTCCTTAGCTTCCATAATCAAAAGATGTAAAATAAGTAAAATTACTAATTTATAAGGATTTATTACCAAAAACTACAAGTACCCCGTTTTAAAAATCTCAACAAACACTTAACCCCAAAAAGAAAAAACCTCCTACCCGGAACTCCCCATTAATGTCTGACAACCATATCCTCCAGTTCACTTCACTTCCGTTCCGACAGTTTATTAAACACTTTAAGACAAAGCCCACACAAATGCTGACAACAAAAAATGGAAGTGGAAATGGAAATGGAACATCGTGCCGAGTAATCCGCTTCTATTCGGTGAATGAAAACGATGACGATGACGACGATGATGGTTACTGCTGATGAACTGCTGACAATTTGTGCAGCGCTTAACAAGCGGTTGAAAGAATACAAAAGGATACGACTGGGCCCCAAAAAAGAGCGGAAAAAAGCATGAACCGAAAAAAGGATGACAGCAATGCAAAAAGTGCTTCCGAATAATACAAAGGCCACAGAAAAAGGAGGAGCAGGAGAGAGCTGGCAAAACTTTTGGGCGATAATTGAACAAATTGTTTCGAGTGCAGTCGACGAGCGGCGAAGAAAGTGGGGGCTTTTCGAGGGCCAATAAGAGGCGTCACTTAACGAAAAAACTTTTGAGGACCGAGATTAACTGAAGATGGCCCAGGGAATTCGACTTGATCGGTGGGAATAAAAGATTTTCCTTTTTATTTTACTACAGGACATAGCAGCACAGCTGACGCCTTAAAGCTGTGAGAAGTGCATAGAAGGGCTCAAACATCTGGCTACTTCTCTATGCGATTCTCAAACTTATTAGGTCCTAATTCTTCAAAATATTTTTTTTGTATTAATTACACTGTGCAGCATTTTGAGTGCTTTTTAAATTTACCTCGATGGATGCTATATTTTTTGATTCGTTACCAATTCCCAAGTTAAACTGCGTTTTCCAAAAAGTTCCCCGACGCATGGATTCTTAGCAAAAGGACCTCAAAGTTCGAAAAATGCTGAAATTGGCCAACTTTGCGGAGCTCTCAGAGGCAAATGGATGCATGGTTTGATTCGATGTTAAAGTTTTTAAAAGATACGCCCTTTATCTTTTAAACCCCATACTTAAAAAATTTTTAAGATTTTTTTTTAAGGCAGAAACAAATTCTAGAAAACATAGTCAAAAAACTTAAAAACATACAGCTGCGGTCAAAATAGTAGTAGTGTTGCCGACCTGTGTCTTTAAAAGTTTGTTGTTGTAATTCATCTTCTTCTGGTGATATTGTATTGATTATAATTTTACTATTGGACTAATTGGATAAGAAAAAATTACAACATCAAACTTTTAAAAACTCAAGGCGGCAACACTGCTACGATTTTGACCGCAGCTGTATGTTTTTCAGTTTTTTGAATATGTTTTTTGGAATTTATTTCTGCCTTAAAAAAAATCCTAAAATTATTTTATGTATGGGGTTTGAAAGATAAAGGGTGTATCTTTTAAAAAACTTTAACTTCGAACCAAGCCATGCATCCATTTGCCTCTGAGAGCTCCGCAAAGTTGGTCAATTTCAGCATTTTTCGAACTTTGAGGTCATTTTGCTAAGAATCCTTGCGTCGGGGAACTCTGTGGAAAACGCAGTTTAACTTGGGAATTCGTAACGAATCCAAAAATATAGCATTCATCGAGGTTAATTTTTGATGCTGCATAGTGTTATGATTGAATTTTTTTTTTGCTTAATTAGTTATTTCAAATAAAATCCTTTTTTTTAATTTAAAGTTAGTTAGTTGCTAATTTTATTTTCGCTTTGATTTTTTCGTTTGTCGTTAAACGTTAGAAACAGTAACTACTAAAGAATTCACGTTTCAAACCCGTTCTTCCTTTTGTCTAACTCTTCGTGAAACGTTAGAAACAGTTAGTACTAAAGAATTCGCTCTATATTCCCTTTCCTTCCCGATTTCTCGCCCTCTTGTCTTTTGAATCTCTTAGATAGGCTTAAGAATTCGCGTTTTGAGTCTACGTGTAAAAAACTCACCTCTGCCGCTCCTTCCCACAAACCGCAGATCGTTGAACTTGGCCACCTGGTTCTTCATCACCGCCGTGCAGTTGCGCAGCTCCGCACAGTAGTTCTCATCGTTGCCCGCCCGCACGGTGACCATCGTTCCGTCCATGATGTCGCCCAGCGAGACGACCTTGAAGGCCACCGGCAGCGTCTTGTTGCTCCGCCAATGGGGCGGCAGCACTGTGCAGACGAAGAGCGGACTGCTGGTGCGGATCAGCTCGCCTGGATGTTCGGTGAGGAAGTCGCCCAGCGTTCGCTCGGCCAGAATGTCCGAGGTCATTTTCGTGTAGGCCTCGTTTAAAAGTTGCGCGGGCGTTGGCGGTGTATTTTGCTCCGTGTTGTTGCTGTTATTATTTCCACTACTGTTTCCACCGCTCGTGTTGTTGTTGTTGTTGCTGCTGCCATTCGTGTTGCTCGTGTTGTTGTTGTTGTTGCTGCTGGTATTATTATTGTTGTTGGTTGTGTTGTTGTTATTGTTGTTGGCATTAGATGCCGTCGAATTGCTCGATGTCGTTGTTAAATGCATTTTGTAATTGTTGTTGTTGCTATTGGCGGTGTAGCTGTGATAGTGTTGTTGCTGCTGCTGTTGTTGCAACAGTTGTTGCTGCTGCTGCAGGTGTTGCTGCTGCTGATGTTGCTGTTGCTCTTGCTGTTGCTGCTGCTCGAACTGCTCCAGTTGCCCTTGAGCGTGAGCCTGCACTTTTTTTAGGCGCACAATTTTGTCGTCCTTTTCAAGCACCGCCTTGGAAAACAATCAATAATTCAGGATTCACCCACAAGACTCCCTGAAAGCCTGCAAGAAGAATAATACAAAAAATGTAATTATTAAATTTAAATCGTATTTATATTTGTTTGAAAATTAAAACGCACTTGTGAATATTTGTATCATCATGTGATTTTAAAAATATTATTTTAAGTATTGGCATTTATTTAGATTTTTCCTAAATTTAAAACCCTTTAAAAATTCTACAACAAATACCGTTTTATTTGTCTCAAATTCGGGAAAGTATATTTATAATATTCAGCTAGATAGTATTTCTTCCTATATTTTAAAATCCCTATTTTGAGAAATATTTATTATTAATAAAAGTCGAATTCCAAATATTAAATAATAAAATGCATTTATTTGCCATCATTCTTTTTTTTTTTTTAATTATATTTAAATTATGTATATGTTTTTCAATTATCTTTCCATTAAACCCTTTAATGTTTTTTTAAATTCCACAACAAATATTCAATTTCCTTAAAGTTTCAGAAAGTATCTATGGAATAGGGTTCCTTTGCGAGCCGAATTCCCGCAGTCGGAGGTTTTCGCACCCGATTAGGTCATCAATCTCTCAACCAGCCGAGGGTGGGCGTTACTTCGACGTTGCAACCTTGCGCCAGCGACACCATAAAATTTCCCATTTTTGGCCCGTCGGCCTGTTAATGTCTTTAAATCACGGCCTCAAAATGGCATATTACATGGGGTCCGTGGGGTCATGGGGGTCCGAAATGCAGGATGGAAGGACTGACTGCAGGATGGCAGGATGCAGGCATGTCCATGGGCATGGCCACCATAAACACAAATCAATTGTCAACCACTCGACGGGGGGAAGGACTTCAGACTTCAGGCTGCCTGGCAGGACTCTCGGATTGGTGGGGAGGTTGGCGGAGCATGGGCACTCGGAATGGGGATTCACATCCCAGCGGAACGCAATTTGCGTTGCACTTTTCAATTTCCGGCAAAGGACTTCATCGCCACCACTCCCGACTCTCGACCATGCAACACTATCCAAATCTAGTCGCTGCCGTGCGGCATGTGCGAGGGATCCAGGATGCAGCATACAGGAACCAGGACGAAGGACGAAGGACCCTGCACTCGTCACCGTAACCAGTGTCAAAATGATTGTGGACTCACGGGTGAGAATTTGTGGTTTGATACTTGCATATTTTGTCACTTGTCGACATTCGTGCAGCGTCCAAAAATCACAAGGATCACGGGGACACATGCACATTTACAGATACCATCTGAAAGGACCAGCTGACCTGGTTAGTGTTTGATTTTAACCCTTTCTTAGTTTTAAAATATATAATAATTTATTTTTAACCACACAATTTCTTTGAAGCGTTTAAAAATAAGTTAATTTGTATTACTTTTTGATGTTGGTGAATAGTAAATAAATAAATAGTTGTCGTCCCAGATCGTAATCCTATTTCCACTCTTAAAAAATCAGTATTTTTGCTGAATCAAATCCAAAAAAAAAAAAAAATTTCCAAATATTCCTTAAAAAAAAGGGGACAAAATACTACGAATTCTACTAAGATACTACCAAATTATATATTTTGGTATGGTCTTAGAGCAATTTGCAGTGCGCTTAAAAATTCGCCCCCATCGCGAGAGACCCGCAGGTCCCACTTCTCCACAATTCCCCCCACATTGCTGACCGATAAAAATTACTTAAAAATGCCACAGCTCATGGGTTGACTTTTGGCCAACGAACAAAAAGGGAAAAAAATTAACACAGGACAGAAGAAAAGGCACGAAAAAAAGCGCGACTGTATACAAAATAACCGTCGACTGTCACACAAAGGGAAATGGTGGAAAATCTGAGGGGAAAATGGGGGCTGGGGGTTAACAAGCGGCGCGATGCCAAAAAGGAAATCGCGGCAGAAATCCAACGGAAGCCAAACGTGTCGTCACGAGTCCAGACAATACACATACACTGTAGGGAAATGGGCAAATGGGCGGGAAGAGCGCGGAAAATGCAAAAGCAGATGGAATGGCGGGGGTATTGAAAAATCCAGCGGCATGGGTTAATGGTGCTTGTTTCAGTTCCAACGTCATTTGCCTTTCATTTCGTTGGCCTGCCTTTTATTGTAAATTTACTTTATAAAGGTTATTACCGAGCTCGAGATAAAAACGAGAGAAGGAAAAAAAGAACAGAAGGAAGTAGGTGAGATAAGCGGCAAGCGGGGGTTAAAACTGGGCCAGACCGGACTCTCAAATTAAGTTGAGGAGCCGGCTGCGGCGGGTTAATCGATGCCCTTTACTTGGGCACTTTGAGAAGCGCGGAGAGAGGCGCTCTTTTTATTTGGTTAACTGTTTACTTTCAAGAAGTAAGATATCTTTTGAGATGATAACAGAATGAGACTTCTATAGAGTATTTAATAATAATATTTGTTAATTTAATAATGTAGTTTTTAAAGCTTGTTAAAAATTAATATTTATATATTTTTTTAAGCATTTTACAGGGTATTCAACTGAAGTGCAGCAGCTCGAGTGGAAAATATTGGCGGGCAGAGGAGTGAAAAAATCAGCGACAAGTGCTCGACAAACGCGCCATAATCCGCGCTCGCCGTCACATGAAAGGTTGCAAGGACTCACAGGACTCGCACAGGACTCACAGGACATGGACACGCGCGGTTTGTCACCTCGTTGTTGTTGCAAAGATACAGTTTTTTTTGTTGGTTTTTTCGTCGCCGGTCGGAGGGGCTAAATCAAAATTCATGGTTGCTGTTAAAACCCGGGTATCAATAGACGAGCGAGAGGACCCACAGGTTACACGCAAGTTTAACCCTTTGATGGCCCCCCCTCCTTAACCCCCTCAGCCAACACATGTACGACATGTAAATTGTTTCAATTTGCGGCATTTGCCGTAAAGCTGCGCAATTTTCGACATGCCATGGATACCCATGGATACTCATGTCCATCCCATCCAACCAACAACCCCGATTTTGTGTGCGTGAGTGGGTGGTGGCGCTGACCATTTTTTCTGTTACATTTCTCTTCTCTTTTTTTGTTGTATTTATTCCACCCATAGTTTGCCACGTCCATCTGTTGGACTCCCAGGGTCGAAAATGTCATAGGAATGGGCGGCAAAAAATGGCAAACCCAAATACTAAACTTGTTAAATGTTATAGCCATATACACGTATATATGTATGTATGGGTGGTTGGGCTACTGGCGCTGCTACTTTGATGTAGTTAAATTTTAATTGGACTTTGGGTTTTTCGCTACCCCGTCTGTGGTATTTTAGGTGTGTGTGTTAGTTGTTATTATGGCATTCGAAATTTTCACATATTAACTTGAAGTCAGTGGAAAAGAGTAAGCCAAACTGGCTAATGGAGGTTTACGGTGGCAAGTCAATGGGGATTCCTTTGGATTATAAGCTTTTAAGACCCTGTGATAAGCCAAGACTAAGGAAATAAACAAACCAAAGAAAAATCGTACTCAACGATTATTTTCAATATTTTTTATCTCAGATTCTATCTATTCGCGTTTTCAAGATGAATCGTTCTCATTTTCAAGTTAAATAGTTCCCATTTTCAAGTTGAATTGTTCTCGTTTTCAAGCTGGATCGTTCTCATTTTCAAGCTGAATCCCTGTTAAGGATTACTTTCTTCTTGATTTCAAGCATTATCCGTTCCCTATCCCAGATTCCAATAAATAATTATATAAAGTCAAGAATGCAGCTAGAATACTTCGTCGTAATGAGAACCGACCTTGAGGACTCTATTTTGAGTGGCCAATAAATCCCCGTTTTAATTTCCCCCACAACCTCGGCAATCAATTTATCTCTTCCACTCGGTGCCAAACAGCACAGATATGTTTGCCAGGGGGAACAAGACCCGAAATTAACAACATTTGCTAACTGAGAACAAATTAAGTCATACATTGTTTATAAGTGCTCAAAAGTGGGCACCACAGAAGCCCCAGGATTCGGTATTCTCGAATGTGTGTGCGTTCGCTTTAATGCCTAAATCAACTAAATTTGCGGGCAGCAAACTTATTTCCGGCATGCCCAGAACACTTACCCCAAACAAACCAAACTGAGCCGAGCCGAAACCGAAAACCCAAAACCCAAAACCCGGAATCAAGAGTCCAAGAAGGGAGTGGACACCAAAATTCAACCATAAATTGATGCAGTAACACGCCCTCCTAGGAGAACTCTGGATGCAACTGCAGTTCCAAGGCAAAAGCGAAAGAAAAAAAATAGAAATGCAGTGCATTGCAATCCTTTCGTCCTTTCGTGCAAAATCCTGTCCGTCCCAAGCCCCAAAAAGCGAGCAACCAACAATGCCAAGTTTTCGGTCAACTTTCGGCCAAAACAATGCCCAATCCTGTGTGTTAACCCCTGTGTACCCCCTTAACCCATGTCCACACGGCCCCCTCGACACCGAAAAAACACACAGCACACACGGGCCACGCATCTTGTGCTCGTCCTTGGTCCTGGCTCCTCACTTTTTCACTGAGGCTGCACCGCGAAAAATGAGGAAATAAAATCTTTTATTTGAGACGAAAGCTTAGAAGGGATATACAAAAATTTTAGAAACCCTTCGGCAATTATGATATGCTAAGAAAATAATTTATAAACCGATTAAGCCATTAACCAGTTTTTAAAGTAATTCTTCTTTATTAAATATTAAAATAAATTATTTTTAAAATTGGACCCAAAAACAAGATAATTTGGATGTATTCATAATTTTTAAAGTCTTACTTAAAGTTTGAATTGTTTTTTTTTTATTTTTCGCAGTGCAAGTGTGCAGGCACACGTTCGGCTACGGGTCCTTGCATCCTGCGAGTGCATCCTGCAACTGCAACTGGAGATGACGATGGTGATGGTGATGGAGATACAGATGCAGATGCAGGAGGAGATGCAGGATGCAGGATGGAGATGGAGAATGGAGAGCCTGGGACTTTCTCTGGTCAATTCGCGGTTTTGCTTGTCACTTAGCCGACGGCCGGCGGCGCAGCGTTGG